AATGTTCATACAGAGATAAAGTATAATATAGTATGCTAGTTAGCTTTCCATTACTGTAGCAAATACCTGAGATAAGTTATTAAAAGAAAAGATTCATTTTGGCTCACAGTTTTGGTGGTTTCGGTTCATGATTAGTTGGCTCTATTATTTTGGATCTGTGGCAAGGCAGCCCATCAGGGCAACAGTATGTGGCAAAACCATTCACCTCTTGGCCAGGATGCAAAAGAAAGAGAGGAAGAGACCAGGGTCTCACAATTCCCTTCAGTGACAAATCCCCAACAACCTAACTTCTTCCATCACGGCCCCACCTCTTGATTTCCATCACATCTCAATTAGCAACATGTGCTGGAGACTAATCTTTTTGGGGGATATTTCAGATCCATACTATAGGATACAGTAAATAGAGCATAACTTTAGAGTTTTACTGATCTGGATTTAAATACAGTTTGGTAACATACTCACTGTGTGACTTCAAAGCCTCAACTGTACTCATGTACAAAATTTGGATTATACTTACTTCATAGGATTAGTGTAAATATCTGTAAAGTTCCTAATACACTGCCTGGCACATAGTAGGTGGTTGATAATTGATAAGTAGTATTATCAGTATTAGCCTCTATTATTTGTTGAAACCTATAGTGTAGTCTCAAGCCAAATGAAAGAAGAATATAGAGGCTTATAGGAAAAAGAAACTTAACATTTTTGAGTGTTCGCTTATCTGTAAGGCACTCTGATAGGTATTTTGTATCTTAAAGTTAGTATGTCCGAATTGAGCTCCTCTTTACTGCTCACCCCACTCCTTCACAAAATAACCTGTTCTTCTTCCTCTTTTCATGCTGTAGTGACCATGAAGAAGTAGGTTAGATCCTCTCTTCTCCAAAATTTGCTTTGAATGTTGAGACTGCTAATGTTATACATGTACAAGTGTGGACTGTTTGTTCTGCACATAATGAAACTTTGTGGAGAGAGCAAAGAAGGCTCCCAGGTTTCTCATAAAAAGCTTAAGAGAGCAGGGAAACAAGAGTAGACTGGAGGTTTTATTATGATTAGAGAGAGAGGCTGGAGTGAGGGTTCTCACTACCACCAAAATAAGGAACAGTTACACTTTCTAGACAAGATGAAGTAGATGCATTTCTTCCTATCTTCCCAATTAAGTCCGGGACATGATTTATGAAATAATCATAGCAAAGACCTGGTGGAGTGGCTCAAGTGGTAGAGCACCTGTTTTGCAAGCATGAGGCCCTGAGTACAAATCCCAGTACCATCAAAAAAGGAAAAAATAATCATAACAAGACTGAAAGGTAGAGAGAACAAGGCAGGCCAGCTAAGGATATCAGGGTCTGAGGAACAGAATGGTGTTGAGATCCCTAAATTTTCTTTTTCCCCCATATATTCTGCACTGAAAATGCCAGTGGGCACTGACAACAAATGCTTCAAGGGAAAAAAAAACTCTGTTCCTTCTAGACAAAAGACTGGGAAATAGGTAGCCTCGCAAGACAGACAACTTTTAAACAATAACCACTCTGCTCCAGCTAAGCACCATAGGAAAAATAGGAACTCTACCCCCATTGAGGACTGAGGGGAGCCCAGACACAGCCCAGCTTGCTCAGCTATAACAAGGCAAGCATTATTCTACCTTCTCCACTGCCACAGTGTATCAGTAAAGGCCAAGTAGGGAACTGAGACTTAACATCCACTCTTAGAGTGAGGCCCTTTTGTGATATGAGTGGAAGCCACATGGGGAGCTTGAACTTCCATTCCACCCAATGGTAATGAGGTACTCCTTTCCACTAAATGGTTTCAGAGGAGACCTAGCAGAGTCAGGACTTTGACTACCACTTAGTGCTAATGCAGAGCCAGCAGAGGCCCATAACAATAACAAGGCACCCCTCCCCTTCTATCCAGGGTGGTATTAAGGTAAAGCCTACTGAGAAGCTTTACTTTCCACTCCTGTCCAGCAGTAAGTAGTGAGGCACCAGTCCCGCCATGTATCAATGAAAGCTGAATGGGGAACCTAGACTTCAACCCCACTCAGCAGTAATGAGGCAGCATCTCCTTTCCTCTGGTGTTGTAGTGTCAAAAAAGGCCTGCTGACGCACATGGTTATTGATACTGCATTTGGTTATTGTATGTCTTAAGTGCTTTTTAATATCTACTCTTTTTTTAATTTTTATTTTATTCATATGTGCATACAATGTTTGGGTCATTTCTCCCCGCTTCCCCCACTCCTTCCCTAACCCCCCCACCCCCTCTCTCTCCTCCCCTACCCCCTCACTACCTGGCAGAAACTATTTTGCCCTTATCTCTAATTTTGTTGAAGAGAGAGTATAAGCAATAATAGGAAGGACCAAGGGTTTTTGC